TAGATGAATGAGTCGAATAGTCCGTGGAACCGAGATGGGGCTTGAGGTGCCATGTTCACGACAAGCCGCTGGCAAAACCCTGCTGTGACGCCTGGGCCGGAGGAGCAGCCGGTGCTCCTACCCTGCTCTGCAGCGAGCGTGCTAACTCCGCTTGATCAGCCGGAGATAGCGAGGTGGCGAAGTCGTCCACGTTGGCAAAGGTAGTGGCACGTGCCCGATAACCCGGAGGGAAAGGGATCATGCGGTCCCAGCCGTACTTCTGCCAAATGGTCTCCATCGGCGTTGTGCAGTTGCGCGCCAGATGGTTCTCACCGCAGCGGTAGCACACCATGGCCACATTGGCCGCATCGATGTCCATTGGCACCATGCCTGTGTTGGCCGCCAGTGCCGGTGCGCGCAACTGTTGGGCTGGAGCACCCCAAGGACGCCAGTTGCCATTGCGCGGCTGGCCCTGGTTGGCGTTGCGCAATGGCTGCTGCTGCTGCCAAGCACCTGTGGAGCGGCCGGTGTTGTTGTTCGCGCCGGCGGACTGGTTGCGCGAGGACGAGTTGCCTGTGGTCGACTGCAAGGAGGGCCGGTCTGGATGATCTTCGCGCCACTGCCTGTCAAACAGCACGGCGTCCTCATACCAGCCCTGCAGTGTGTCCAGGCAATGCTTGCCCTGCCCGTTGACCTTGTCACGGATAGCAGGCTTCAAGCTCTTCTTATAGAGCTCGATGAGTGCGGTGTTGTTGAAGCCCGTGCGTCCGGCCCAGTCCTTGAACTGACGCGTGTGCACCTCCACAGACTGCGCGCCTTGCTGCATGGACTGGATCTTTGCGATGGCCGTCTTCTGGATGTCGACATCCTCAAAGTGCTGGAGGAAGGCCTGTAAGAACATGTCGAGATTGAGAAGCGGGCCCGTGTAAGCTGGTGTGGTAGCCCCTGCTGCTGGGCTCGATCCGCCATTTGCCGGTATTCCGCGTAGTCGGCCATAATCTGCTCATACCACATGGCGGCGGACTGGTCGAGGAGTGTGGAGACCAGCACAATTTTGTTGTGGACGGTGAGCGGGTTGCCGGCAGCTTCCTCTTCTGCGACGAGGTAGTTCCGCACATTGTGGACAAAGTCGCGTGGCGTAGGGTCATAGACGCCCTTGTCATTGGAGACACCGGAGAACGTGTGCGGAGCGTGGACGCAGATGTGTGAGTGCTGTGGACCTGGCACTTGCTGGACAACAATCGGCTGTGGCGGGGCGTTGAGCTGGGCCTGTTGGTTGACTACCGTCTGCTGCAGGTCGCAGATCATCTGGTCCTTGCCAATGCTGATTGCGTTGGCGCGGGCATCTGCGGTCAAGTGCTGTGGGGAGTGCCTGGCATTGGTACGCATCCACCAGGTGACCGCACCGGTATCTGGGTTGGTCTCCTTCCAGATCAGGAGGTCATTGTCCAGGCTGCGCGGAAGGCGGTAATCATCCTCATTGTCTGCATCAATGTGGAAGCCGCCTTGCGGAAAGTCCGCAGGGTAATTGGCGGCGTCAACGAAAGGCATGGTTTAAAATTCGGGCGGGAAATCTTCGGGGTGCATAGCAGGTGTGGGCGAAGCAGCGGGTTCAAAGTTGAAGGTGATGGCCTTCGGGATGCGAAGAGGCGAGGGCGGTGGCGAGGGTAAGTGATGCGAGCTGATGACGACCGATAACTGCGATGGGTCCCAGATAACGGCCGGTATGGGTCCGTCGCCAGCAAAGCGTAAGTGTTGGAAGGCGGGCTCGTACGTGTAGTGAAGAGTGTCTAGGCGGTCTTCACGATAGATGACTTCCAGGCTAGTGAGGCGGCTGTACTCTACCAAGAGCCTGCCGGAACTACGTTCGATGTAGTTGGTGAGAACGACGGCGTGCACGAGATGAGTGCATTGCGAGTGACGAAGACTGCAGAGACGGCGATAGACCCAACTCCCTAATGTGATCCCTGGGATCGAGAAGGGGACTACCAAGTTGGGTAGTGTAGCGGACGAAGCGAGGTGAGGCATGATGATGAAGCTAGCAACGGCGGCGACAAAGGCCATAACGGCGGCGACAAGCGTGAGAGCGAGTTGAGAACCTTGATCTAATGTCAGCAACAGCTAGGCGGCCGCTTACTAACGAAGACAACGACAAGCGGGTTAACCAAGACAAGCGGCTAGGTAGCCGGTGTATAGACTAGATCAAGGTTAAGAGTAAGTTACAAGCGGGGACAGAGTCTTATATAGGTAGGGCAAGGCAAACAACCATAAACAAGGCACGAGAACTGGATGAGTCGAGCGTAAGTCACGGGGATTGCCGAGTCACGTGAGAGTCCGGAAAAAGGAAAAGCAAAGGAAAAAGATAATGGATAATCAGGTGTCCGTAACAGGAAGTGATTGGGGTGCAACTCAATGAAGTATGCTGTCCGGTCAATATACAGTTCCACGTTGTCCTCCTTTTCTGTGAATGCTGTGAGGAGGAGGAGCTTTGGGTTTGACGGCTGGCATGCCGAATGGTTGAGGTCACTCCAGTCGTAGGAGCCGGCCTCGCTAGGCATCATCGAATAGCGGCTGCGGAAGTGCCCAGGAGGGAAGCACCACTCCATGGGTGACTCGTCTGTCCCCCCCGTCTCCACATTGTTCTTTGCTTCTTCCCGGGTGTCCTGCTGCTGCGAGCTCTGCTGGGTGTTTGGCTGGTTCTCTGGCTTTGCTGCGCACTTCCGGAATGGGTTGTTGGAATTGCGAGGGAACGGGTTGGACCTGTAATTGGCAAGGAAGGGGTTGGTCTGATAGAGCTGAGGGGTTGGTGCCCGCTCGTCGAGGTCAATAAGTGGGTGGGTCTGCTCCTGCAATGTCTGCGTCTCCGGGTTCATGATGTCGGCCATGATGGGGGATGTTGTAAATGAAGTTGTTGACTGGGCTCGCGAAACTGCGAGGGGACTAGGGATTGCGGCCCGGTGCAGCGTTGGTTGGGCTAGTGCAGGTGGTACTGGGGATCCTGCGTGGGAGGAGTTGTAGGGGCGAGTAATAGAGAATTTGATCTCTTCAGGTGTAGGTCCGATGTTGATGTCTATCTGTAGGTAAGACAGCCAGACGTATGGGAAGTCAGGGTTGTTGTTGGGGTTGGTAGCGATGTAGTAACGCCGCCTGTCGATAACGCGGTGGATGAAGTGTTTTCTCGCTAGAAAGTCAAAATAGACTCCTCTTGGATGATCCACGGTGACTTAGCAGAGGATGAGGGAGTCTAGGCGTTGAAGGGGATTGAGCGCGAACTTGCGATTGTTGTAGCGAGTGCTAAAGGCAGTGCGTATGCTGGAGTATACACACGGAAGTGGGCGAAGGCAGTGACTGTGGGAGCGGGTGGTCCACGCTACAACTTGCTCGTGCGTTGGGCGGATGACTGTGTTCCACGAGATGCAGGGTTTGCCGGTACTGAAGGTGAGGACGTCAAGGACAATCCACTTGCTGTTGGTGCCAGCATATGAGTTCAGACCGATGTTGTGGATCAGATAGAAGGTCCAGTGAGTGCGCGTGGAGTGGCGATCCTTGACCTTCTTGACTGGTATGTAGACGTGGCTGTAGCGGATGCAGTCGGGGCCGGAGAGTTCTTCAAACCACTCAAAGTGGTTCTTGGTACCAGAGGACAGGCCATTGCAGAGCATGGCGCACATGGGGTATTTATGCTTGTACTATAGATCTAATTATAACCAGCATTTGCTGAAGTCCTAATGGTGTAGTGGTTACTTGTTCATTCATCTTGCCTCAGCAATGTCTGGAGTTCAAATCTCTTCCGTGGTATTCATTTTATTTCATCCTTTGCCATCCCCACCTCAATTCTTGTGTCACAATACATGTTATCTTTATAATGACATTATACAGCTACACAGTGAGCAAAAACACATTGAGACAAAGACCAAGCCCGACATAAGTTACCATTTACAAGACACATAATTGTATGGTACTATAATTTTACGACCAGAAGCCTGTTGTGTACCCAAATCACTCAACACAACTTGGACGATTGCACGGCTGGAGATCTCTATGGAGATCCGCGGAGTGGCCCTTGTACACGCTCCAGTCAGCCAATAGATCTCTTATGTCAACACCTGTATTAAACAAGTGCATGTTTCCAATGTACGATTGTCAGGCTGACAAACACCGTCACCGCGCAAGATTGACAAGGGCGTGAATTCGAGAGGCGCGGAGCTCGAGCAAAAAAGACAGTCCATGGACACGTACCATGTGGCATGGTGTTGAGATCCAATGTGGCCTGACCTGCCCAGCCACCGAGTATCATGTTTGTAGACGTGCACTATAGGTATGTCAGTTTGTGCGCTGTATCCATACTGATCGCAGACTCACATTTGAGAAGAAGGTATGAGGAAGCAGAAGTGCATCCTTCCTCTGTCATACGACACCCCTCATGTACACGTTGTCGTCAATAGTGTCCGCGCATTGGGTCTCCACCAAGTTTCCGTGCCTCTCGGGCTTGCGCATCTTGTTGGCACTTTGACGATCTTACGCTATGACGGTGTGAGTCTACCTTCAGGCAGAGCTACTCACCACGAAACACTATGGTCGACTGGAGGTTTGCCAATCCAAAGACATTTTCCGAGGGTTATCATGACGATACAAGGCTTGCACACCTAGATTCTTGGTTGACTATCTTTCTGACTTCAGTGCAAAGTGGAAGACTGCTATTTTGATGAGTGCCTCTGATCTGCTTCAAATGCTGTCTGTTTGTGTTTATCTAGTCCAAGCATCTCCGCTAAGAATGGTTGGGATACAAGGGACATGTCTATCAAGATTCTCAATGGTCGCTCTCATCAATCCATCACTGATGACCCACCAATCTGATGATGTACTCTAGGAATTTATTTTGAATTTTCCGGATTTTAGTATAGCGGAAGAGCAGCTAATGGGTACAAGGGGAATTAGGTGAGCCAGCATAGTAGTTATAGCGATATCATGTATGATCTAAATAGTGAAGTCCCCAAAGATAGCTCTAGCATGTCTGATTTATTGGTATTTGATCAAAGGTCACAATGTTCCCACGCTCCTGCAAACGGCCAGACGATCTCGTGGTTTGCAAGGGCGTGGGAATTTTATTCTCTTTTTGGATTTGGACCTTACATGTATTGGTAGCTAGTTCCAAGAGTCATGAGATTGGTACAGCATAGTGTACATAGTAGCAAAGTACTGCTAAATAGTGGCACAACATAAGTCTGAAGGGGCCGAGCATCCGAGCATCCTAGGAAAAACTTAGCCACCATGTGAAAAATCCAGCCCCAACTCTGGACACTAAACTAGCTATAACTCAAGAACCATCCATCCCCAGAACATGAGGTAAAGACTGACAAGTTTAGTTTCCTGTCAGCTATCCATAGATGTCTAAATAGTAAAAGGGACAACAGGATTGTGGCAAATGGCAAATTTTAATTTAGCCTAATGTGTTCCATACCTGAGTTGACGAGCTCGAAAAACGGCTGGGTGTGCACGAGAAAGAACGGTGATTTATTAGCATAAATACCCCGTAAGTGACAATGGGGTCGGCAGCTGGGAAGGCAGATTCCAGGCGGATGTTCAGATTGGATGTGTCAAAGTTAATGAGGAAGAAAGCCACTATAGCTGTATCAATAATGCGCGGGGCGGAGTAGGGAGAGTTCTTCCAAATGCTAGGACCGCACTTAGGGGATATCTCCGAGCCACGCTATTGGCACTCAGACAGACAGACAGACAGATACCAAGCACAGAAACCCAGTGACAACACAAGGGTATGCGATGGCAGGGGCAGAGGTAATAGAGGAGAACACCACAGAGGGTGGATTGCAAGATGGACAAACTAAAAGAGCTAAGGTACATGGAGGAAGAGTCTTATATACAGCTTAAGGCAGTGCGGGAACGGGATGACGAAGGCGGATAAGCAGGTAGATGACTGAGCGAGCCGGGCCCCGCTGACAAGGAAAGGGTGTGTAAGCGGGCCAAGTCATACATGAACGGTGTGAGTCATGCAAGTCCTGAGTCCGTGTGCCAGAATGCCAAGATGCCGGATGCCGAGACAGAAAAGAAAAGAAAAAGGAAAAGAATTAAGATATTGCTGAGTCACGTGACGGCCAAACCATGACAAGATCTCAGAACATCTCCTAGAGCACAGCAGACACGACCACGCTATTGACCTCAAGCCAGAGTTTGAGAAACACCTGGAGACCCATCCCATCAACGCCAAACTCTACCCCATGCCGGACAATGAGAAGGCGGCCATGGAATTCTTCATCAAGGAACATCGGGATTGCAGCACCATTCGCCCCTTAAAGTCACCAATGGCAAGTCCGTTACTTTTTGTCAAAAAGAAAGACGGCATGTTGCGTCACAGCAAAATAGATAGCCACTTTAGATAGCAGTGGTGATTACCCACTAGACTGAAATTGTAGGAGATAGTCATGACTATCCAAGTGACCACTATTACGGGGCAGACTTGAACCGTTTTTACTCTCCCTGGCAAATGGGCCCATCGCCCGTGCCTGTATGCTTGGATCGAAGGGGAAGTTGTTTCACATGACTCATTTCTCTACCTCTGAAGCTGTCCCCTCATATTTTCTCTTCGCATAGTGTTATATAAGCTCGTACCATCCTCTGCATATAATTTTCTTAGCTATATGTAGAGTACCCACTAGGATACAGCATGTCGCAATGTGCCCTGTCCACACCAACTTCCGTCGGCTTCATCGTTCTCTGATGCAAGTTCCGTCGGCATCTCGGATTCGTCCGAGCAAATCGTCTGCTTAGGCCCAATTTGCCCGAAATTGATTTTGACGACTTCTCAAGCCCATTCGTGGCTTCCGAGCATTGCCAGGGATGCTGTGCTTGCCGGGGGTGGTCGCTGCGAGGTGTAAAACATACATTTTATGCATTCAAATGGCTACCTAATACATGTTTTTTTAAATAATAGGCGATACAGTGCGAGTGCGGAGGCGGAGACGGATTGGGAAACAGGCCAAGGGAATAGGATGAGTGTTAGAAATGGGAACGGGAAGCGGAGGGGCTAACTAATACCCAACAATAGGCGCGAGGGCGGCGGGGGCGTATGAAACCGTATGAAAGAGGTGGAGACTGAATGCACAGGATCATAGTGGACAATTAGTGACAGGGATTTATTATAATAATGAGGGAACACACCTTCTACACATCCGCGCGCGGGTTACAGAGACTCTAGCGCCGTTAGTGTGCGGGACGGCGGACCGACTGCATACGGGAGCCTCACAACGAGAGCACAAAGTGGGGCGCTGTCCAGCGCGCTAACGGCACTCGCGCAAAAAAAGTAGGTGTGAGCGGGGTGGGGCGAGAGAGCGGAGAGCAGAGGGTGTTAGGACGAGTGCGACATGGTAGACAACGGTGGCGGGGGGAGAGGGCAGTCGTGGGCAAAGGGAAATAAATACGAGTCACGAAGTCACGCCATCCACGCATCCGGGGATCTTTGGCAAATGCCGATTGGCCCGTCAGTTCCGACTGTTCACGACTCAACGCATCAGCGCGCTTGCGACTGGCGTTTTTCGACCTCCCGCCATCACCGCGCCCTTGCCTCGCCGTCGTTCTTCCCCTCCCTGTCCCGTCTGTTTTCCTCGACTTTATGGACTGGCTGGCAAAGGCCACTGACTCGCGCCCGCTCTGGCTTTTGGCGTGGTTGGTTGCCTGTTAGCTGGGCGTCCTCTCGTTTTTCCGGGGCTACAGGTGTGTCGCAATAATTTTCCTCTACGTACATTTGCTAATTATACTTATAGGTACCCTCCTAATTTGTGACGGGTGCCAGCGGATGCACTGTCCCTTGATGCATAGCGCAACGAGTGGGCCAGGTACGTTGTTCGCGTCATCGAAGACTGACTCATCAAATATAACTCGCACAGGCTACTTTCTTTGGGCAAGGCTCGCGCTAATATCCGCACTGGTCCTGTCAGTGCGAGTATCAGGTATGTCCCACACTCACAGTGCTTATTCATGCAGTCCGTCCTCACGCGTATGTCAGGACGTACGCGAGAGGACTCCAGCCGCTCAATAAGCCCGTCAACGCTCCGTCGACTGCTCGCGCTCGCGGTACGTGTTTCGTAGTCTTTTTTGGTACTCGACTGACGAAATTCATCGTACAGTGGACAGGGCTCGTGCGCGTAGTGCCCAGGCCGCGCTTCACACTCTCGCCTGTGACGTGGTACTGCCTGGCTACGCCGCCGCTGGCGACGAGCACGACCGCCGCCATGCGGCGCTCGGCACTGCTGCTGCGTATGCGCTCGCATGCGAGACGTCGCTTCGCGATGTTCGCCCGCGTTGTGTGCGCGATGCCGAGTATGGCCGCAATGTTGGCACTTCGTGCCGCCATTGTTTGCGCGTGCAAACCGGTTTTTTGTTTGTTACTGTAGTTTACGTCCGCTGCATGTACGCTACTATGTTAGTAAAGTAGATCTTGAAATAAAATGCCATTTTGTTCTTCGACCATGGCTGCGTGCACGTGCGTTTTGGTGTCAATCGCCTTTGGCAATAATTGCCGGCGGTAAGGTGCTTTGCCCTCAGGCCTGTTTGGAAAAGGTCCACGTTTGGAACGGCCATGTCAACAGATATGGGACGTTCCGTAAGGTCCCACCCCAGGTGGTGTCGCCACTGTGCAGCACTCCACGCTGCTGCTGTGTATGCTGTCGTACATGAGACGTTGCTTCGCACTGTTCGCCGGTGCCGTGTGTGCGATGCCGAGTATGGCCGTGTTGTCGGTGCTTCGTGCTGCCATTGTTAGTGCGTACAAACAACTTTTTTCGTTTGTTATCATAGTTCACGTCCACCGCATTTATGCTACTACGTTTGTAATATAAATTGTGAAAGAAAATGTTGTTTCGTTCTGTGACTATTGCTGTGTCATATGGTATGCAGGGGTCATGCTAGGGCCGCACTTAGGGGAGATCTCCGAGCCGCGCTATTGGCACTCAGACGGACAGGCAGACAGATACCAAGCGCAGGAACCCAGTGACAACACGAGGGTATGCGATGGTAGAGACAGAGAGGACAGAGGAGAACGCCACAGAGGGTAGATTGCAAGATGGACGAACTAAAGGAGCTTAGGTACATGGAGGAAGAGTCTTATATACAGGTTAAGGCAGTGCGGGAACGGGATGACGAAGGCGGATAAGCAGGTAGATGACTGAGCGAGCCGGGCCCCGCTGACAAGGGAAAGGTGTGTAAGCGGCCCGAGTCATACGTGAACGGTGTGAGTCATGCAAGTCCGGAGTCCATGTGCCGGAATGCCGAGATGCCGAGATGCCGAGTCAGAAAAAGAAGGAAAAGGAAAAGAATAAGGATATTGCTGAGTCA